CAAAACATTGACTTGCGTACTATTATTTCCTCATGATCGATCAGCGCGGACTACTGATTCGGAATAACTCCAATTATTTTGTTCCCCGCAGTAGATCTTTTATTTTTACGGGTACTGTAATCATAAGTAGTATATGACATGCATTTCATAGTCCGTGTGTATTAACTTCTGGCCGCTAGTCTTCAAATAAAAATGGATTTGACTATCCACCTACTTTCTGATCATGCAAACAGTATTCTCTGATTGGTCGGATAAGGCAATAACCCGACGTTTCCACCAGCTTATTCCGCTCAGCAACAAAACCTGAAATAATACACAACACACACACACACACTCTGTCACATCGATTCAGCTCCGATTGTGAATCGGTTTAAGGAGCCAGGGAGGGCCCATGGTTCCAAGTAGAACACAGGGTTGACGTAAACTCGGGAACTGCGTCGATCTGATGAGTCCCGAGAAGGATGAAACCGGTCGTGGGTTGTCGGGGCGTTTTCAGCAACCTTGTGAGTAGTTTCCTTTATGAAAATATACTGCGATATCTCGAATATCATACCAACTGAAACATGAGGCGGCCTGGTATAGCGCATTCAGTTGTAGAATATCATAAAAGGGAGACTCAGAAGGGATTTACTCGAGTTTCGCGTTAACATCTAATTAACATACGTTTGACGGGAACTAGGAGATGTTGTCTACGGCAGTGAAGTGTTGAACACTGATGTTATGTTGTCGATGATGATGATGATGATGATGATGATGACGACGATGATGATGATGATGATGATGATGCTGATGATGATGATGATGATGATGATGACGACGATGATGATGATGATGATGATGATGCTGATGATGATGATGATCATAATGATGATGATGATGACGATTATGTGGATTTTGTCCACTTGATGGCGATGATGATGATGATAATGATGATGGGGATTTTGTCCACTTGATGGTCTCTAAGAAGGAAGAGATTGATCCTGGGCGGCCGAAGTGGTTTCAGCAGCCTCATGAGTTGTGTATTAAGTCTGAATTTGAAGGACACCTGTCATTAGTGACACAACTGATTGTTAGATGTCAGCAGCATTAAATCACGATGACAAAACCACACAATCAAGTTTCCAGGTGCCATTACAAGCAAATGGAGAGGCTGTTCGGGGCGAATTTTTACTGGGGCTTACAAAGATGATAGTCTAAAGTGGAAAGCACTACTTCAAACTATTTCTGACATCCTCGGTTGGGGGTCCGGATGATACTAATGCAAAGAATTTGAAGGCAGGAGATGAATTACAGGTGGAAGGCTGTCATCGGACCTCCATGCAATCAAATGTGGACGACCGTAATGGGGTTGGGGTTTCTAAACTCGACACAGCCTAGTAGATATCAGGACGGATTTCAGCCTGAAACGCATCTGGGCACGAGCTGCGTGACTACCGTCATTTCACTCAGAACGTGTCACAGTTGTCTCCGTCCAGGACGTGTCCAGGACCCTTCCGTTCCACTCTTTATGTGATTCGCCCATGTCTTGTTATGCCTGACTGTGGTGCACTTCGTGTACACTTTAGGTTAGACGGAAAGCAACATGCGGCGCGATATGCACCTGGTAACCATCTTTTTTTGATAAGTTTTCATCTTGTTCATTCAGATATCCCTCAGGGACAGTTTCCGTCCCCCGCTCTCTTTGTGTACCATGTCACTTGTTTAGCAAGTTCGTTCGTTCACTGTACTGACCTACCATCTACTGTTTGTACACAGGGATCACCGCGGTGACTGTTATGACTATCTCCTGAAGTCCTCCGATTCTTCACAGTGGTTCCTACTGCTCCACTATCTTGTTTTCCATGCAGCGAAACCAGGCTATGCGGACTGTCTTCAGCTTCTACGGCCTCCGGTGCCTTTGGCAACCCCGGGAGGTATCACCGATGATTCGGGGGTGGGGTAGATAGTTGTGTATTGGGGGCAGGATCTGATAAATTGGTGTAAATACAGCACTTTCAGTGGAATGTTAAGTAGGGGGGATTTGAAGGAAGCTATACATTGAAGGCAATGGCTTGGATGCATGAGCGCCATGAAGGGCCATATCTGACAATGTCTCTAGCCATTGATGTGGCACGTCTCGGGGGCCCCATTCAGGAAGACGGCAATGACCAGCGCAGCTGAGTTTGCTGGTAATGGCTTTCATACTTCTCTGCCAAGTCATTGTTTGACCGCCTCTGGCTCTCTTCCACCCTTCACATGGTTGGGCGAAAAGAGCCCTTCGAGGAAGTCGGTCGAATGGCATACGCAGCACGTGGCCAAGCCAGCGCAACCTATGCAGTGTGATCAGTTCATCTATCGAAGGTGAGTTATTTCTCCTGAATACCATTTGACGTACTTCAGAATTGCTGATCTGGTGTTCCCACCAGATTCGGGCAATTCTCCGAAGACATCGATGGTTAAACACGATACACGCACAACGATACTCTATCCTACATCTCAGACACCGTAGAGATATCCACCATGCATCAGATCTTGTTCTCCGTGAACGAAGCGATTCAGAGAAGACAGACCATGAAACTAAAGCAACGGAGCGAGCAACCGTCTTTCAGCTCGAGGGGATCAAAATATAGTTTGCTGCTGTACGAACTAGAAGTGAGAATAAGGTGTGGAAGAGTTGGAACCTACAACGTTTCGCGACGAAATATGGAAGGTCATGGACCAAGTTCGTAGTAATTTATCCATCATTAATGTCACTGAGACTGAAAGCTTATTGATTTTAGTGAAAAAAAAAACACCTCAGGATGAGGCGATACTCATTCGATGCCCAGTGATGGCCATCATCGTACGTGGAACATCGCATATGTCAACCCAACGAACTGGGTTGCACTTGGCGTTCTGATCCCCTCGACGTGATCGGTGGCCACTCCAAAGCACATCAGTGTGGCTGCGTAGGGCTGGCGTTGGGTTAAAGTCAACACACCAACGCACAAATGGTCCAGCTGTAGCGGTGCCTGACTGCCACGCCACAGAAAGGTTGATTGATCAAGGTAGGTTGCTCAATCCCAGACAGGGAGCAGTCGAGATGCAAAGGTTCGAACCACGGACCATCCGATCAGTAGTCTCGTGCCTAAACCACCTCGAACTTCAGCAAATAGAAGCCGGGATTATATTCGCATGGTTGTGCACCGAGTGGCTTCCGCTCTCGTCGATTACGGCTCAGATGTGAATTCCTGCCTTTGGGACTGATGTCTCTTCAAAGCAACAAGCCTAATTTTTTAAAAACAAACTCGTACGCGCAGAATCTTCTCAATTTAGCTTCGCTGCACAACTAACGAGTAGCCCGGTTTGAGCGTTGATCGCACCGCTTTTTGCGTGATCACTGTGGTGTAGAGGAGTGAACGTCCAAGCAATAGCTTTCGCGAAATACCGACGTCGAGACCTCCAGACAAAGCAGTCTAATCTAGGGATACCCAATCTTCCACTCTGAGCATCCGTTTGTTTCCTCTACTGATTTACATTCGTGTTGTCCCCCAGAGGCAACAGACTTTTCTGAGACAAACACGTACATCCTATGGGAAAGACGGCAAAGGGCGAGCCGCATTGACTGTTGTTGCTCAACGTAACGTGCAAAGCTCAGTAGCCGTGTTGGAAAGGCTTCAGAGGCAACAGGCTTTTCTGAGGCAAACACGTACATCCTATGGGAAAGACGGTAAGCCGACATAAGCAACCTTGGGTGACACTGAGAGCAAATATCTGTTCCACATACTACCCCGTTCCATAATTGTTCTTTTTTCATCTACACCTGGAAGCACACACGATCACCTTATTGTTTAGGTATTTTATCGATTAGGTTTTGATTTGTGGAAACGCGGATGAGGAATACTTGATTAGAGATGTCACACCATCTGAGGCTATCTTATCACTGCTTATGAAGACGCTACAGTTCGGAATTGATTAGTTTGTTAACAATACAAAGCAATGAAATGCGATTTGAGCTTTGTCGAAGCTGGCGGTTCACCAAAAAGCATTTATCCCACCATTTCACCGTCTCTCAACGAAAGCTAATCACGGGAAGTTCAGCAGATGATCGAATTTGCACCAGGACACCTCGTGTTACATCTATCAAGATATTCGAGATATTGTAATACATTGTATTGGTTATTCATAGATTTCCGGGGAATCTCTTGGTTTAGTTTACCGTTCAAGCAGAGCATAAAGTGAACGTAAACTCGAGGACTGTGCCTGAATGATGAGCCCCAAGAAGGGAAAAGCCTTTCGTAGGTTGCGATAACTGAGGAATCGGACGGGAACCTCAGGTACCTGAGAGTGGAGTCTCCGATAATCCAGTCCGTATAGCATTGGTCCGATGAACGAGGGATCGACTGCTCCTGAAGGATCTTTACTCGTAAGGTTTCAAAAAAACCTCTGACAACCTCGTCACGTAGACACCCGAGTTTCCATCAAATTTTTGCGTTCTGACGGTAACCGAATTCGCAAATTATAGCGTTTTTTCTTATCGCCAAGAATATCTTCAGACCAGGTGCATAGGAAACTTAGTTTGTCAGTTTGCCCCCTCTTTAATTGAGAATCCCCTCGTCACATCATCAGCCTTGTCCTACACAAATTGTGCTGATGACTCCATTAAGCCGGACCGTTTCTTATCAGTTACGGTACGAGGGTCAGAGGGCGCGCGACACACTCCACTCCGATTGGCTGAATGCCTGTCGGTTCAACCAACACGCACTCAACGGACGCGAATCACAGCACCGCTTGCTCCGTTATGCCAAGGTCACGTGGCATGTCGATTCGTGGAGTTCATGCATTGGCTCTACAAAACCACACCATTTGGTCTTGTCGCTCAGTAGCTGTTGCTAAACCTGATCGACGCGCAACACATTTAGACGCGTTCGCCCACTTTTGTCAAGAAAGTGTATATGAATCGGACGAACTTCATTTATGGGTTGCAACTCATTGAGATCACGGGTTAAAATCACCGGATCTGACAAGCGAATGCCTTCACCATGTCCACGGAATTTAACTTCACCTCCCCGACTGATTGTGAAAAGAACGCTTTGGAGGTCTTTGGATGTAGTGCAGCGGTTTACTTGATCGGAGTGGCCACGCTCGTCTTTGCGCGGTTTCTACATCTTCGCCGGAAAAAGGAAAGTGAAGATGAGGATAGTCTTGATGATCTAATTCGTACGAGACAAATGCGTTGGCTTCCGAAAAAGGCCGAAGCCCTACTAACTGGGAAACCAATCTTGGGGAAGATTTTGGTAAGTAACCGGTTGGCCCTTATAGAGCCTCTTCTCAGATACTGTTACGATCCGCTCTCTATACAACCTGTTCTGTCATTTATGTCGTCAACACATACAGGTTAGTCACGTTCTTCCGATGGGACCCTATTTTTTCGTGAAATTGCAGATTCAGAGGCAGCATACCGACACTATGCATACCAATCTATTCAGCGCCACGTTATTTTGTTGAACTGTGTGCGAATTGTGTATTTGCTTTGATTTTTCTCATAAAAGTGGGTTTTCCAATGCACATTAAACTGACACGTTTTCAGGTAATCTCCTCACAAAATCTACTCACAACCTGGTTGTCTATGGATATCATTATTGATCATTTCACAATACTACCGATAGCATTTGCTTTGATTTTTGGCTTCTACCAATACAGTGAGTGGTATGCACAGTCTTGTCTGATGCTGACTGATCGATAACTTTCCAGATTTCGGATTTCTCTACTTTACAAGACTGACAAAAATTACAGAAACTCTGGTGTTGTTACACCTCATCGATGATGAGCGCAGTATCCGCAAAATGAAGCTGGTATCCAAGCTGCTTGCTGCCTGGTTCACCTTGGCCGGAGTGATTCTGTTGGTGAGTCATCGTTTTGGGCCATGAGTTTGCAGTCTTAGTCAGTTTTTTTTTCACGCGGAGAAAATGACTTGGTCTGGAGAGCGAGAAAAGCCCGAAATTGAGGTAGAAACAATGGGATGATGTTCGATACGTCCAGAGGCATATCTTTGTTATCATCTTAGGTGTCTTGGTCACTGGTCTCAAAATCTGTCAACTTGCGTTGTACTCCACTTTGAAAACGTTGCGAGAGAGCAGTAAAAAACTCCGTGGCGTACGGATCTTAGGGAAAGGACACGATTAGAAAGTGTTAAACGACGCCCGCTCTGCGTTTTTTTTACTTTCACCTTGTATCTAGCTATCAGCCCTAAGTTGCATTACAACGATGATTCATTCTAGAGCTGGAATATAGGCGAAGAAAAAAGGTAGGATAGCGAAAGATGGATGATAGACCTTCTGTTAGAAAGCTTCTTGTTCACCTGGGAACATTATCAAACTCAATAGTACTAATAACAATATGGCTATGACTGTGGGATACCTTGAAATTTGAAGAAAATTGGTTGTCGAAGCCTAGAAATGATTGGTCGAGAAGCTGAGGCAGGTTCCAAACCACAGACGTCCCGTTTATCCCTTCCTCTTTAGTTACTGGGTTATCTGAAGGTCAAACTCTGAGAGTGAATCGAGATACCATGGTGGTCGGGACACGACTTTATAGACCGGAAGTCCCGTGATTTGGACCGAACCTCGGGATCTAGACCGCTTCTATCTAGGATTGGGCAACTTTGTAGTAGCTCACCTCCTACTTTATAGACCGGAAGTCCCGTGATTTGGGCCTAACCTCGGGATCTAGACGTCTTCTGTCTAGGATTGGACAACTTTGCAGTAGCTCAGCTCCCGTGCTTCGTTCAGGTGGCAGGGCAACTACGTGCCGAAAGAGGATTTACGGTGAAAAGAATACTGTTTTGTTATTAGTACTACTGTTTAGACTTGAAAAAACGGAGACTAGGCTGGATAACAAAGAACAGCCACTAAATAAGGAACCTCCGGACAAGAGACGCATTACGCCTAGGGACATTCCGGTTTTACCACGAGGGTCACTTTACTGTGACCACTTCGGCGTTGTAGAGTCACTATCCGAATGTCACGGATGAGAGATGCAAATTTAGAATCAGATTTCGCTGCGCAGTGCCAACAAGACCAGTATTTGCGTCGGGAGCACGAAACGACGGTACTGACACTAGGGCCTACGCCGTGGTCTGTCTTGGGGACCTCGGTTTTGTCACCGTAAAATTGCCGTGGTCTGTCTTGGGGACCTCGGTTTTATCACCGTAAACTTGATGAAACCAAGATGATAACCAAGATGATTGCAAAACCACGTGAAGTTTTCTCTTCGACGCCGGGATTCCGGTCACAGTACTTCGGGCCACGAACTTCGTCACGTGATCTAATGGGCTGACATTCAACAATCTAGCATGATTTGAAGAGCGAAAATGGGCAGTATACTCTAAAACCTCTATTCAGTACACAGGCTGTGCCCATGTTTGAAAAAATCGGGAGAAAGGAAAATGTTCATTAGCGAATATACACTGATTTGCAAACTAATTTCGATTTTCGTAAGACTTACCTGGAACCCAGTTGAATCTCCCTCGTTTGTGATGTTTCCTTCTTGTTACCAATGATGAAACCAATGATGAACGGAAATTTTTATGGCGGAAATTTCAAACCTTACATTGCAAAGTGTCGCAAATTGTATACGAACCGAAGCGATATTTTGCATGAATGATGAACAGAAAATTCCGCGAAAAAGTAGTCATCACAGTGGAAGCAAATCGCACCCACTCTGTAGCCGTATGGCTTATTCGTATTCTCTTCGTTATTGACAAACTACCGGAAGAAACGGGTTCAAGCTCCTCAACCAGGACAAACATTCCTGCACGATGTGGATGACAAAATCAGTTACGGAGACTGAATAGTGCAATCTTGGGACTGACCGTGGATGTATTTTCCCGCGTGGAACATATTCAAGCAGTAGTTGATGCATTGCTCGTTATATTCACCTGTACAACGGCTAGGTTTCTCCGTGTCACCCAGTGGTAACCATTTCTAAGAAGAGTGGGTTGACAAGAAACCAGTCGACCCACAGTTAGTGCACAGAGTTGTACTTTGCTTAAGGTCTTATGGCAAACTGCAGTCGGGTGACAGAAAACAGGTCTTTCAAGGTTTTTCAATCGCAGGACCTTGTCTCACATTTCCAAACGGTCACCAACCAGAAAACCTCGAAAGGTCATAAACACCGTGATATTCTTGAAAAGCACTCATTTGCAAACAAATTTGGATTTGCGGGAGACTCACCTGGAACCCAGCTGACCCTCTCGCTCATGATGTTCCTAAGTCCTTACAAACGAGAGTTTAGTTGGATTTAGTTGAGACCCCTGTTGAAACCGAACTCGTGTAAAAATAAGAGTTTGGCTTCAAGTAGAACGCGTAGAGACTCGGGGATTACGCCCACCTGATGAGCTCCAAGAAGGGCGAAGCCGGTAGTGGGATGTTAAAGATTTTCCATCAACCTTATGAGTAGTGTATAACGCCTGTAGTGTGATATTCTCTTGATAAACATGTCTGGGCCCGGATTCCACAACGAGGACTCTTTCTTGAGCTGTTCTACCAGAGTCATAATATTACTGTTGTCTGTAATCGATGGGTCAGCAACAAGTCTACAGTTCGTAGAGGATGCGCAATCGTCTGAATGGCGTTAGTAGGGCACCTTGATCGCTCCTGGCATGGATTTCAACGTCGGTGCGCATCCTCTCGGACGTGATCGATCAGGAGACCTGTTTGGATTGCCACATCGTGTTAATTCTTTGGCGGACTGGTTGCCTGCGCAGGGCCTCTGCGTAATTGGTTGGCCATCACTTTCCATACGGAATCCCTGACTAGAATAATAAATTCATTGCTAGTTGGAAAAGTGTTAATAGATTATTGGTGGATTTATTGCTGGGCGACGTTTATTTCTGACATAGACGCACACCAGAGTATTTCTCAACAGGCTGAGCCTACAGTAGTTGGAGGGGTTTAGAAAACTAGACTGATCACTTCGTTTCAGACAAGTTTGGTAAACAATCGGTGGATTTATTGCTGGGCGACGTTTCATTTCTGACAGAACAGTTTCGTCAAGCCAAGTGACTAGGTTACGAGACTGGTCGAGATTTAAGGCTGTATGAGAACCACTCAGCTAAGTCAGGCTAAATCTGTGTTAGATGCCGGCCAAAGAATGTGTTGGTTAGATTGCGTCAGCAAATTTTTAGACCATTGGGGAACATACATGGATATGGGTCCAGCTCAAAGTCCAGTGAAGATCCTTCTTGAACGTCCTGTACACTTTTGGCTCATTTGTATGGGTGCGCTGGTACTACGAGAGTTGTGCAGGGGGAACTTTGGTCAGGTTTGGATTTCTACGCCTGTTTGCTAATGATTCTACGTTCATTGATCACCAAACAACGTTACGCATCAACCTGACTTATCTGAGACCGCGCTCTTCATACGCTGACCAGCTCCACACTCTTGATTTCATTCACACTTTCCACTGTCTCGGGCATCAGGTGTGAATTGCACTGCCTGTTTTAAGACTCCTACATCCATGTCCTATGTCTAAAGCATGTCGAGCCATCGTCGAGTCTTCGACCCCCCCTTGAGCAAGCAGCTTGAAGAAACTGAGAATATCCTCTAGGAATTACTAAGCCTCTTGGGGAACGAACTCCTTGGAGGGTCGGAAGGGTACTGCAAAAAGAACCGACTTCAATTAGGGGCGTAATATCTCGTCTTCTTGATTCATCGTACGTTGGTTCAGGGAAGGGCGATTACTTCTCAGTTATTACCATTGAAGAGATGTGATATCATTCCAAATTTACACGACCACTAATACTTTGCAGGGCCTTACGTAAGTTTTCTTCTGTTGATCACACAAGATGCCCATGGTAGAACTTTTAAAGCGCTGTGGTACGAAACTCCGAGTGTCCATTGCTATTCCGAGTCGCTACCAGGTGGTTTTGTGTACCGATAGTGGAAGTCATTTGTTCTTGTAGGAAAACTGCTTACTTGCAGTACAGTGGTTGTAGCTATCACAGTTTCATTGATCGATAATATGGGGAGGTGTGGTAGATAGCTGCGTAATGGACGCGAAAGCTGGTACAATCGATGTGCAAATAAAATGGCTTCAGTGAGCTTTTTGTTGAGGAGCTCGCGAAGGGAACTATGCATTGGAGACCACAGCTTGGATGCACGAGTGCCATTGAAGGCGCGACTGGGCCATGATGTGTTCCTGATAGACGACAGTGAGCAGTGGGGGCTGTGTTTGCCGCTAAAGACTTTCGTAATCCACTGCCTAGCCATTTTTTTTACCTCCCCTGGCTCGTTTCCATCCTTTAAGTGGTTGTGCGAAAGTGCTGATCAAGGAAGTCGGTCAGATTGGTTACGCAGCGCGAGGCCAAGCCAGCTCCACTTGTGAAGAGCGATCAGCATTACTCATCGGTTTCTCCCGTCAGACTAGGGCAATGCACCGAAGACATTGATGGCCAAACACTGGAAGAGTTTTGACGTACGCAGCACCCCGGTGTATGTAGGGTACCGTAGCATCGTAACTTCGACCCTTAATGGACAAACTGGTGATGCAGGTTCACAAAAACTACGCAGGCCTTCTCATTCCGGATGGAAATATCGTCTTTCACTAGAGCACCGGGACTGATGCAGCTGCCCAGGTAGACCAACTTGTCTACTACCCCAACATGAGGCTAGGGTTCGAGCC